ATATCTACGCACTACATTTCGTGAAATATAAATTTAAAAATTTAAAGTATTGACTTATCAAGATATGGATTTCTTGGTTTATGTATAGAACGTGTATAGAACCTGTACAATACGTACATTATATGTGAGAAGAAATATTGGTTTTCGAGGAATCTCTGGTTTAATTATTGTTAAGTTTACTTCCATTTCGAGTAAAGGTGCTTAGTGAAGAGATTCAAAGGTCGAGAATAATACCTTACTCTGATGATTTTCGTCATACGACGGACGAAAGCTTAGCACATTTTCACAGGGATCGAAGGAGGTTACCTCGGAAACAGCGTCAACAAGAATGTTCCAGTAATATCAATTGACAGCTGGTCAAGATGTATCGACCTCCGAATATATCCGCAAAACAATTTCACTCGAAAAGGAAGTCTACTCAACTATTATAAAACAATAGCTATCTTGAAATCCAGCTTTACTTCGCAAATACTATTTTTCCAATCCAGATACATTAATATTTTTATCTATTATATTCCCTTTCTCATTTAAGCTCCTTTATGTAAATTGTTAGTCATAATTCGAAAATGGAATAACTTAATTTCTCATCCTCAATAAAGGTACATTCTACCAAATTTATGGTAAAGTAAAAATATTACCCCTAATGCACGGTTCTCATTTATTCACTATTAAAAACAGAAGCAGCTGCATAAACTGATTGTGCAACATAGTAGTCTCTGTGTCAAGTAAAATGTGGCAGTTTACTCTTCTAGTCCTAGTATATAGCATTTTATATTTTTAGCTAGTTATTCATTCTAGCGTATTATTAAATTCAGTTTCTATTGATAAAAAATATTACCCGATTTTCTCACTCGGTTTCACTATGACTAAAAATTTAGATGGTGTAATTGAAATGGAGTAAAAGTCTTCTTTAATGGTGGCTATTGCTTGATCTGAATAATATACATTAGCACTAAGGCATAGCAGAACTAACGCAGAAATGATAGAACCATTGAGAATTTATTTACACAATCTATAGTATAAGTGTTATTAAGGAAAAAATAAATCAGCACATTAATTCAAAAGAATTCAAGTTAGAGCTATATAATGGACTACCATTGCTTGAAAGAATAAAATATTCTTAAAATTCTTTACTAGACAATAGAGTCTAATTATAAATGATAAAACAGACCTATGCGAAGGCTCCATAAGGTTCTGAGTTTCATATGCATGTTAATTTAGTTGTTTTTGTCCAAATAACAAAGCAAATAAAGGCCACAAATAAGCCTTTTCAGAATGATAAAAAACTATGATTGAGTGTCTCAAAGACCCTATTTATAAATCGAGAAATATTAAATCCGTTGCCGAGAGAATACTCCTGCAAATAAGCTACCTTTGTATTACTTGATGAATCCAAGATTTGTTGGCCTTTATCATCCTTTAACCACACCAAATAACCTCTAATAGACTGCTATAACTGCTAGTTTGCTTTGTTTAAGGCATTGCGAGTATCGTTCAGGTATTCAGTAATAAATAGAAAAATGTAAGATTAAGAAGCGAGAAGAAAGTGTATAGATAATTTTAAAAGTTTCATCTTTGTGTATCAGCTTAGGGTAGAATTCCAAACAAAAATCATAAGAATTTTTAATATTTATAAAAATTATTTATATTACTCCGGGATATATTGAAATAAGGAAAACGAAATGGTGACATTTATGCAAAATAAATACTTTAAAAATACTATATTGAAAAAGCTAGAGTTTAAATTGCCCATTAAATAAATTTTTTTATTCGGACTTTTGCCTTAACATCGCAGACGTTTATAACTATGTATAAGCAATAAATTAAAAGTAATTGCACAATCAAATAGGCACAATCAAAACAATTCAAAGACAAAAATTCCCAAAAATAGCCCTATTAACACCCTTGTTTTTATTTTAATTTTAAGTAACAGTAAAAATCATGCCATAATTATTAATTGATTTCATAATATCTTTTCATCAACTGTTTGTAATGTCTAATCATTGACGCGTCTTATTCGTTCCGCTCCCTTTTTGTCGTGTCCTTCCCTCAGCGATTAAACTGTTTCACACATAAAAATGACTCTGAGACTATCCTTTAAAAAATTTGCTTACCTATCTTATTGAGGAATATCTTTAGTATTTATGAGTGATTACAATCTTTCATAATGTATTCTGCCGTCGAGGATTTCAGCACATCTACTACTCTTTCTTCTAAAAGGAGCGAGGTTGACAGCGAAAAAGGTATATTTCCTTTTACCTGCGTTACATTACTTTTTGCCTTTTCAATTTGGTTAATTTTAACCGTATACTTATGTTTTTTTAGGACATTCTAAGATTCATTGTTTCGTTTGAGAACCTCCTTTATTTTTCATTTACATGATACTTTTACTAATTCGTAGTCTTGTTTTTTACTATTATCAGGCGGAACTCGAAGATTTAATTATACACCGGCAGTTAATGATCCTTCCGAGATCAAGCAATTTATTTTCCCCAATCTCTCTTCCACTGTTGTGACTGCCGCAGCTCCCCGTCAATTTATCTGTGATATCTGTGGAAAGCGTTTCTTCATGTCGCGGGCCCTAAAAATTCATATTTCAAAAGTTCATCGCGTACAAAGCTTGGGTCCTATGGCGCCTGCCATGTCTCCGGCATTGTATGAACATGCCAAATCTCTAGTTTCGTCAAGTTATTCCAATTTTTGCGATTTATGCGGTAAAAGTTTTAACACTCAAAGACTACTAAAACGTCACTTAACTCAAATGCACAAATTAAATGAATTGATTCAAGCTCCCGACCTCTCACATTGCTCCGATACTCCCCATTCAAAAAATGAACATGTTGCATTGAACAAAGCTGAGACGATTTCTACTGAGAGCATCTCTAGGCTAACATCGGACAGCATCTTGCACAATAGTAGGTCTTGAGTTGAACACTTATTGTATAATTTATTCTTATTCTCTAATCTTCCCTTCTATTTTTCCTTCAAGACAATTTAGTAGACTCGAAAAATTCTGCCGTATTCGAAAATGGAGAGTTTTCTTTCAACCGATCTGATGAGTTCTCTCAAATTAAGCCCACTAAGCCAAACGCCAGCAAATCTCAGGTATCGTCTGCTCCTAATGGCGCTCCTGTTTTTCAGTGCTCATACTGTTCTAAGAAGTTCTCTTTAATGCGAGCCCTCAGTATTCATCTGACAAAGATGCATCGTAAGCATCCTCGTGGGGAGATTTTCCCGCCTGTTGGAACTACACATTCCAATCCGCCCCCCGACATTTATCGGGCTGTTCCTTGTACTCCGTCACAATCAGTCAAAATCGCCAAGTGTGACAGTGAGAATTTCCTCTCTGGTACTCCTTCGAAAGAATGCTCTACAGAGGATCCGATTGAGATTAATCATTTAACAAATCAATGTTCTGCTGTACCTCCGCTTGTTATTCGTCTTTCTTCCGACCCTTGTGAGTTGTTTATTTTTTCATTCTTGTGTTTAACTGCATGTCCGTGCTTATCTCTAAGCTCGTCTTGGTTTTTCCTATGAATACATTAATATTTGCCTGTATAGTCTTACTGATTTAAATGAACGCAATTCCTCGTGTCTAATTATTTTTATGCTAGCTACTTATTTCCCATTAAGCTAGGCTAGATTCTCAATCTTTTTTTACTTTCAGTAGAAGGTTTTTTATATTACAAGTGTACGAATTATTATTAATCTTGTTTTAGAAGCTCCCCGAATAAATTTCTTTATTATCAAGCCTTGTAGTTATTTAAGGCCATTAGGAGTCCCTTTATTAACCTAATTATTTATGCTCAGGTCCCACATTTGTATTTAATTAGATAACATAATCATAGGTTTACTGGTATTTCTAACTAAAGCGAGGCATTCGAATTTTTCAATTAATTCAACAATCCTTATATTCTTATCTAAAATTTGAATAGCTTTCACTCGAGTTCGTTCTTACATTTTTTCTAAACTAATGTCGTGACTAAATCTTCATTTATCTCTTGTGCTACATTTTTATGTGTACTTATATACGATTTGATTTTATTGTTCAGCAAAGATCTATTCAAATTGCAAAATTTTATCTAAAAGTGAATTATGTTCCTTATTATGGCTTCTTGAACACCTCTGTGATTACATGATGTAACTATATTTGGTGACCAAAGGTCTTATATGATTAGGATACTAGATCCTACTTATTTCAACATCGCTCCATATTTTGTAGATCAGCTCTTATTTCACTTTTTTGGTTTGCTTATTTCAGCATTACTTCAACAGAATCTCATCAT